ATTCGCCCTCAACTCCACATCCTGCCATCTCCTACTCCTCGGCCCCACCACAACATACGCCGACTTCTCATGATTGCACTCCAACCCTGTACCCGCCAACTCTTCCTCAATAGCATCAATCCCTCGTTGCAACGTATCTCTAGTCTCCTCCACGCCCTTACCAACACACCACAACGTCAAGTCATCCGCATAAATGGAGTGACCGATCCCTTCTCTCGTTAACCTCTTCCCCACCTTTGCCATGACCAAATTAAACAACATCGGCGAGATAACCGCGCCTTGCGGCGTACCTATACATCCCAACCCCCTCTTTCCAACCTCGTACTCCCCAGCAACCAATTCCGCGCTCCTCCCAGTCAAGAAGCTCCTCACATACTCATAGCTCCTCTTCCCCAACCCCAACTCCTACATTCTTTCTAATATGGCCGAATGCTGCACCCTATCAAAGGCACTCTTGAGATCCAATCCCAACACAACCCCCACTTTCCTCGACTGCACAACCTCATGCTTAAGTTACAACATTGCATCCTGTGCACACAACCCCTCCCTAAATCCGAACATAGTATCACTAAACACCCCCCTCCCTTCCAGAAAATTATTCCACCTTCGCAATACCACGTGCTCCAAAACCTTACCAACACACGACGTAAGCGAAATCGGTCTCAAATTCTGCACCCCCCCCCGGTTTATTCGGCTTAGCCAACAACACCATCCTAGCCGTTTTCCATTCTTCAGGCACCTCCCCGCTCTCCCAACACCTATTAAACAGCCCCGTGAGCACCTCAACAGCTTCTTCCCCCAAGTTACGCAGCATATTGTTACTAACCCCATCCGGCCCTGACGCAGACCTCGTTTTCACCCTCTGCAACGCCGCCCTCACTTCCCACGTCTCCACAGCCCTATCCAGATCCTCATTCACCTCCCCCTTATAGCCCGGAAAATTCACTCCCCCCACCCTAGGAAGGTACTTGTCCATCAGAGCCCTCCTAAACCCCTCCTCTCCCAATTCCTTCCTAGCTCCATACAGAGCCTCACCTAACCTTCCCCTTTGATAACTACGAGTCCGCGTCCCATCCAATAAATGCCTTAACAACCTCCATGTTTCCCCCATCTGCAACCTACCTCCCGCCCTTACGCACACATCGTCCCACTGCTGCCTCGCCAGTTCTTCACTGTACCTTGCAATTTCTCTATTCATCTCCGCTACCCTCTTCCGCAACCTCCAATTACCCCTATGTTCCCTCCACCTGCGATACAACGCCTCCTTCGCCTCCATCAAACCTACCAACCTGCTATCCAATTCCCCCTCCAACTCTGCATCCACCTCCACATCTCTACTCGCTTCCCTCGCCGCTTTTACAACTGCCTCAGACCACCCCTTCACATCGACAACCCCCCCCCATACCACCACCCCTCCTAAAGGCGCCCCAATCTACCACCTTGTGCCTCCTCTTCCCCTTTCTTCTGCCCTCCAAATGTACCAAAACCTCTACTACCCTGTGATCACTGCCCAAATCCATGCCCGTATTTCTCCACTCCACATCTACCCCCCTAACAAAAGCCAAATCCGGCATCGTCTCTCTCTGCACCGCCGTCTTAGCCATCAACGTGGGATGCCGAGAATCCGACACCAAAATCAAGCCTACATCCTCTGAGTCCCTCAACAAATTCCTCCCCTTAGCCGTGTTGTCCACATACCCAAACTCCTCATGTCTCGCATTGAAATCCCCAGCCACCACCAGGCCCCCATCCCCAGCCCATCTCACACATTCCCTGAAAAGTTTCCCAAACCTCTGCCTCCCATACTTTGGGCTGTTGTACACATTACACAAACAAACACCACTCTTGCCAAACACCACCTCCAAGGCCAGAAACTCCACATTCTTCTCCCCCTCCAACTTCCCTTCCACCACCGGCAACCCCCGTCTAACCAACGTACAAACACCCCTCCTACCCCCCTTTGACACTACCTTCACCCCATAGGCCACGTATCCCGAAAGCCCCACATCATTCGGCCCCACCTCCTGTAACATAATGACATCCGGCATCTCCTCTGCCGCCTGCACATATTGCTGAAGCACCGCCTTCCTGCCCTTGTATCCTTTGCAATTCCAAACCCAAACCTTAACTACTTCTTCCATTGTGTTAAGAACGACTCAATCCCCATGACAACCCTTGCCACCTCATCCAACTTCTCATTCACCTTCCTCAACCCTCCCTCCTGCCGCACCACCCTCTCATTCAAATCTATTATCTGCTTCTCCATTCCCGACACATCACTACCACCTCCACCCCCCGCACTCTTTCTCTTAGCCGGTGGCGCCCCCAGATGAGAAGGCTCCCCCTCCGCCGCAATCTTCTCCACCTTAGCCGCCAATTGCTTAATAACCCCGGTGAGCTCCTCAACCTTCTCCATCAGCCCTTTGTTCTCCTTCCTCAGCTCCATGATCTCCCCGGCCTGCCGCCTATTATCCTCCCTGAGCTTTTCCATCTCCTCATTATCCGACTTCACCACCTGTGCCCATGACACCTGTCTTTCCTCCCCTCTGCTCCTACTCCTCGACCTACTATCCCCCCTTTCCCTCGAAACCGACCTGGACCCTCCCAAGTCCGGAAAATCTTCTCCCCTCAGAGCCCCTGCACCGGAAAGGGAGCCCCCTCTCGACTCATGATCCAACTCTTTACGTTCCCACAACCTTTTCCGTACAATATACGGTGTGCGGAACCTATTCCTACACACCCTATCCCCGGTCACGTGTTGTCTCCCACATAGCTTGCACCTAGGGGTGCACTCGTGCTCCTGTTGCCCACTAACCCCACACCCCATACACCGCTTCATCTCCGGGGTAGGGCAGACATCCGAGCGATGTCCTACCCTCCCACACACAAAACAGACCTCAAAATGCTTCCTATACAAAGAACATCTCAAAACTCCTCCACCATAATACACTTGTCTTGGCGCCACTTCACCTTCAAAGACCACAATGACTGTAGCCGACGATCCAATGCGCTGTGTCGCCCTCGCAGTCGGATTCCTCGGGCCCACCACGTTCCTGTCAATGTCCTCCGCCGAATGCTCCAACGGCACACCTCTGATGACTCCCTTCGTCGTCCCATACGGAGCCGCCACGTACGCCTTCGTCTCGAAGCTCTTCCCTTCCACCACCAACACCTCCACGTTCACATATCTCCTAGCCCGCTGTTCATCCTCAGTGCACACCACCACAATGTTCTGTTGAACATTCGGGCATAACGTATCCTTGCCCATATCCTCCATCTCCACACGCGCCGCCTTGCCAATCGCACACATCACTTTCACGATAGACACCCTGGACAGATCCAGACCTCCTCTTGGCCTCATGATCACCTTAATGGCCTCCCGGGGCAATACCCTCGGCATCTTGGCTCCCCTCTCTATTCTCTCTATCACCCGCCTGGCCACATGGGAATTAGGTCTAGCCTCCGCAGAGCCGTCCGATCTTCCATTCGTGCGCACTTTCATCCAACCCGCACAATCCTCCGGATCCAATTCTTCTCCGGGCACTTCCACGACCATATTCCCAGCATTCCGGCCGACATCAGCCTCCATGCCGTCCCCTTGCACCTCCGTCGCCACCACGCCGGTGTTAGGCCTACCTTCCCGTACTCGGTTAGGCCTAACTGCCCCCGCCTCGCCGTCACCACCTTTCCAAGTCCGTAAAGTCCCAATAAATCGATGGAATGACTCACCACCGATATCGATGAGTTCCTCTCGACGAGCCGGACACTTTGACACCACTTTCAAGAAAATAGAGCCAGAAACACCGCACAAATGAGCACAGTAACGCGGAGCCGACGCGACACACGTCCGCCTCCGACCACCGCTCGCAGCGCCCTCAACACCTCTGGTGGTGGTCGCGAAGAAAGGCGGCGCAGGATTACGATTATGCGGCGACTACAAGGTCACGGTTAATCCTGTTCTGAAAACTGACCATTACCCTTTGCCATTGCCGGAAGATTTGTATTCTATGCTTGCCAGAGGAAAGATCTTCTGCGTCCTAGATCTATCACAAGCCTATCAACAAGTGCCGCTAGCTGAGGAAAGCAAAGCGTTGTTAACTGTCAACACGCATCTCGGATTATTTCAATTTCAGCGGCTTCCGTACGGCATCGCTAGCGCCCCGGCTATCTTTCAGTCATTAATGGACGAAGTTTTAAAAAGGATTCCAAAAGTGGGCTGCTATATCGACGACGTCATCGTCGTAGGCGACAACATAGACGACTGTCAACAAACCGTGGAAAAGGTGCTTGAAAGACTCGCAAAGCACAGTATCACAGTAAAAGAACAGAAATGTGAATTTTTCAAGCAGTCCGTCGTTTATCTTGGGCACAAAGTGACAACTGATGGCATTTTTTCAACTGCGACAAAGATAAAAGCAATCACGGAAGCACCTCAGCCAAGCAATGTAACCGAACTGCGAACCTTCTTGGGCCTGCTGAATTTCTACGCAAAATTCATCAAAGACTTAGCTACAGTTGCTGCGACAATGTATGAGCTACTCAAAAAGGACAATAGTTGGGTTTGGACGGACGCATGTTCAAGATCGTTCGTGGAATCTAAGCAGTGTCTCATCGACAGTGAAGTTCTGACATTTTACGACGTAAAAAAACCGATCGGATTAAGCTGCGACTCGTCCGCCTACGGTCTTGGAGCCGTTATTTTTCACGTCATGCCCGATGGTTCAGAGAGACCTATCGCCTTTGCCTCGAGAACATTGAACGCAGCGGAGCGTAACTACGCACAAGGCGAGAAGGAAGCCCTGGCCATAATTTTTGGTTTAAGCAGGTTTCATAGATACCTGTATGGACGCAAATTCACGCTCTATACAGACCATCAACCGCTGTTGGGCATTTTGGCATCAGATAAGCCAATTCCTTCTCTGGCTGCAGCGAGGATTCAGCGTTGAGCTATCACCTTAGCAGCTTATCAGTACACGCTACGGCACAGAAACGGCAAAAACATGGAAGTTGCCGACGCAGTTTCAAGGCTGCCACTTCCAGTCAAGCATAAAGACGACACCAAAGAATGTCTTGCAGTCTTTGATTCAACGCCTCTCACTGCGAGCCAGGTGGCGGGTGCGACTAAAAAGGACCGCATTCTTTCCGAAGTAGTGCGGTTCACCTTATCTGGCTGGCCCGCGCACTACGATGATCAACTGGAGCCTTTTTACGTTCGTCGAAACGAACTATCGTACGAGCAAGGCTGTGTCACGTGGGGCCAACGAGTCATCATTCCGGACGAACTTAAAAACGCAGTGTTAGCATTGTTGCATGAAGAGCACCCAGGAATGCAAGGAATGAAGATGCTCGCGAGGTCTTTTGTTTGGTGGCCGTTGATTGACAAAGACATCGAAGCCATTGTCCGTCAATGTAAAGTGTGTCAAACGACCTTGCCTGCGAAGGCACCAGGACCAATTCATCCATGGACTTATCCAACTCGTGTTTGGCAGAGAGTTCATGTCGACTTCGCCATGAAGGATGGCTCGAACTTATTCCTTCTAGTATACTCCTACTCAAAGTGGATAAAAGCAAAATGCCTCCGTACTACAACGACATCAAAAACAATCGACTGTCTCAAAGAGATATTTGCAGCCTATGGCTACCCGGAAGAACTGGTTAGTGATAACGGACCTCAGTTTACTTCGCACGAGTTCTCTGACTTCGCCGCTTCTCACGGAATTCGACACACTCGTACGCCACCGTACCATGCTTCGTCGAATGGGGCAGCAGAAAGGCTGGTTCAGACAACAAAAGCTTCTCTACTCAAGCAAGTGCTTCACGATAACTTAACAGGCCGGCACAGAACCCTGCATCAGCGACTTAGCGACTTCTTGCTTGCTTACAGGAACACCCCAAATTCTGTAACGGGAAGAACGCCGGCTGAGCTGTTCCTGAAACGACAACCTCGAGTAAAGCTTTCGCTCTTGAAACCAAGTTTTGTGCAGGACATGAGGAGTCGTCAAAACCGAGACGCCACACATCGCAACGAGGGCCGAGGAAGGGACCTGCAGATGGAAGTTGGTGATCCAGTCTTCGTGAAGACTACGAGAGGGGAAACCCTGTCGTGGGAGGAAGCTGTCCTGGCACAACGCGTAAGCGACTCTACGTTTGCAGTCAAGGTCGGAGATCATTTTCATTTTGTCCATATCGACCATTTGAGACCTAGGTGGACATCTGGACCAAAAACATCCATCCACCCGGACGTCGCGCAAGAAGCAGAGCCCGCTCTAAGTGCCAGTAGTCAGCAGGACTTTACAACAAACCTTCCAGAACGTGAGACCTCTGGTGAATCCATGGTTAGCGGTCCTACTGCGGAACAGCTGGACGACGTACGCTTAGGTGACGCCACTTCAAGAGAGCAACTGACATCGCAGCCTGAGGCAGAACACTCAGCAGCTCAGCCCTCAAACATCACCACGGCTACAGCCATGGCATCACCCGAAGAGGCCCCTTTGCGAAGAAGTAATCGCACAAGACGTCCACCAGATCGCTATCAAGCTTCCAATTATGAACGCGAAAAGAAACGCGTGTAGCTTTAATTTAAGGAGGGAGGAATGTTCCGTACCGGCCACGGGCTCTGATAAGATTGTATAACCCTGATGACGTGTGCTCGCCCGGCATGCAGTGTTATCTATAAAAGAGCGCTGCTGTCTGGGAATAAAGGCTTTTTGCGTTGCTGCCACCAATGCGTCTGTCTGCTGCTTAGAACAGAACTCACGGCATCAATAATCGTTTTATACCTCTCGGCATTTTAATCGATTAATCCCTCTTCTTTAATCGGCGGAGTGCTATAACATGTACTTTGATGCACTCGATATTTCTTAGTTCGTGCTGCAAAATGTTTTATATGTATGTTTGCAAGTGTTTAATGCTTGAAAATGGTTGATAAGTACTTGTGTGTCGGTACGATATCATATTACTTGCCATTGTTTAGAATATGCAAGCCTTGGTGTAGGTTTTACGTTGTTCTTCCACTTCTTCCAAATACTTGTACTGTCTTCGAATTCGGGACTGTTCTAGTGTCCCACTGGCCCGGAGGGGGCACCTGTGAAAGCAGGTGTTTGGAGAGTGGCGTCTGAACGGACCCCGAGCCATGCGGGTTCGCCCGCCCACGTCTGACTGTGCGTGACTTTCCCGTGTCTGGGGAAAAGGGCATCCTGGTGGTTGAGCCGAGCCCGGGGTAGGTTTGGACCCTCCGGGGCCCCCCGGGCGAGGCAATACACCACTTCGGCCCCCGCTTCTCATAGACGGGAGTCCTGGTAAGGCCCGGCCAGGATGATTCAGTCTAGTCGCCACTCCTTCTACTATCCCCTCCCTTCTTTCACCTTTGTCTTCTCCTTCTTTTCACTCTTCTCATTTCTCTTCTTTCCTTTTCAACTCCTTTGGCGGCAAGGGCTAACTTTGGGTGGTGACAGATACTCTCGTCCAGATCCACACTTGGTTATAGTTTCTGGGTAGCGCTAATAGAGTAATGCTTCCAGCAAAGCCATATTTGTTATGGGGTGTTACCTATTCCCTCGTTGGGCTCCGTGGTGGGCGGCGCGCCACAGATTCCGAAAACCCATTGCCTTTTTATGGCGTCCCTCTCTTCTCAACCCCGAGCAGAACGACCCCCGAAAAGGGTTCGCCCCGCTCCCCCTAAATTGGAAAAAGCTAATGAACCTGAAAAATATCCTCGATTTCTTGTAGTTCACTCTGCAAGTAACTGTGCATTTGTCAAAAGTTTCTCCCTCTGCCATTGGAAAGCATCTAGAACAAGTGGTTGAAAATGTTATAAGGCAAAGAAGCTTGCTGGAGACCTCCTTGTTGAGATAGAAAATAAGCCACAGAGCACAGCACTCTTGAAGATGACAAGCCTGGGAGACTACCCGGTTACTGTCACCCCCCACCGTACCCTGAATACTGTTCGCGGTGTCATCTCAGAAGATGACCTTCTCGAATGCAGTGAAGACGAGATCTTTAAGGTCTGCGCAAGAGTGCTGTCGTTGCTGTTCGACGAATCACCTTAAAATGTGACGGACAAGAAAAACCAACCCGCCATCTGACACTCACATTTGTGCTCCATGCTCTTCCATCCACCGTGAAGGCAGGGTACTTGAACTGTAGAGTCCGCCCTTTCATCCCAAATCCTCAGCAGTGTTTCCGCTGCCAACGTTTCGGGCATGGTTCCCGAAACTGCCGCGGCCGGGAAACGTGTGGAAAGTGCGGTGGTACTGACCATGTAGCAGACATCTGCGAAAATGAAGTCGAATGTGTGAACTGTAGCGGAGCTCACCCTGCTTTTTCTCGCTCCTGTCCAAAATGGAAAGAGGAAAATGATATCCTGACTTTTAAAGTAAAGCATAACCTTAGCTACCAAGCAGTCAAAGAACAGCTTGCCTTTCAGGTCGTCACCTTATGCATGTTTGGAACCAACTTGCCGAAGCTTCGAGAGAAGATGCTCAGGGACAAACACCTTACCTTGGAAAAAATCGTCACCTTATGCAAGGCGGCAGAAACAACAGCTTGTCCGCCTTGATCTGATACGATACATCCTCCTTCCCAACGGTCGTTCACCGCTGAGCTCAACACCTCTGGCTCGTTTGCTGGAAGCGCTCGTCGTTCTTGTGTGGGCTGGTAAGAATAGACAACTCGGGTATCAGGATAACAATGCCTTGGTTTATTCCGTGTTGTTACTTATATAGCCGAAGGTGGAAAGGGGTTAGTGTAGTAGAGGGCAAGGGAAAGGCACGTGGCAATGGAGCATACAGATAGCTTGTCCGCCTTGATCTGATACGATACATCCTCCTTCCCAACGGTCGTTCACCGCTGAGCTCAACACCTCTGGCTCGTTTGCTGGAAGCGCTCGTCATAACCCAATCGCTCCGGAGGCCGCTTCTGTCGTGTTGTCCTTCGCGGTGGCTGAACCGTTGGCTGCTGAGCTGCCGTTTGTAGAGTCGTCGTAGTTGCCGTTTGTAGAGCCGTCGTGATGGTTGGCGCTGTGGATGTCATTCCGTGTGATCAGGCCCGGTCGTTGTCCGAATCTTCGTCGTCTGACAAGTCGACCTCGCATTCTTCCTTCGTCGCTAAAAGGTGTCGACGGTTGCGCCGAAGTACGGTATTATTCTCTGTACGCACGTAAAAAGGACCGCGGCCCGGCTGATCCAACTATCTTGGCTTTCCGCGCCCATGACGCTCCATTCAGGCGTACCACGTCGTCGTTTTTAAGGCGGGGCAGCACCCGCTCGTTGTGGCCTGTCTGTCGGTGTTTCTTGACCCGTATCGCAGGAAGGGGATCGAAGTCCGGCACGGGTGTGCGCAGCCGCCTTCCTTGCAGCAGCTCGCCAGGAGACCGACCATCTTCGACAGGACATGCCCTGTAATTTAATATGCCAAGCCAAAAGCATTCGTTTGCAGCTTTCGTTTTCTTTAAGATGCGTTTGATTATTTGTACACCTTTTTCCGCGAGCCCGTTAGATTGGGGGTATTTTGGGCTGGATTTCACGTGTTTGAAATCGTAATGCTTTGCAAACAGCGCGAACTCGTGGCTGCTAAACTGTGGGCCGTTATCTGAGCATACCTCCGTTGGGATGCCGTATCTCGAAAATATAGCACTCAGTCTATCAATAACCGAGGTGGCTGTTGTGTCGGGGAGGAGCTCCACCTCTGGGAAATTGGACATCGAATCGTAAACACACAGATAGTGTCTTCCGGAATACTGAAAGAGATCGACACCGACACGGTACCATGGTTGAGTGGGCCTTGGTTGTAGAATCAGAGGCTCTGATGGTTGCTTATAGGCATATGTTCTGCAGGTCGGGCAGCTTTGGATCAACGACTCGACGTCAGAGTTTATGTTCGGCCAGTAGACTAATTGCCTAGCCCTAGCTTTGCACTTTACCGTGCCAAGGTGGCCTGCGTGAATCCTCTTTAACATCTCTCTGCGCATGCTCGTGGGAATTACTACTTTTGTTCCTTTCAAAAGTATGCCGTCTACTACTGAAGGTTCGGCGGCAACTGATTTCAGCGCCCCTTCCACTTCGTCTCCCCTCCCGAGCTTTCGCAGTACTACGCTAAGATACGGATCAGTAGCGGTTTCGTGTGCAAGTTTCGCAGCCGTTTTTTCACTTACGAGGGCTGATACGACTGTGACGGCGTGAATTTCTACGTCGCCCGTGTCGGCGGCCCCCTTGTTCCCAGGAGCAGGAGATCGAGAAAGCATATCAGCCAGGGCCATCTGCTTGCCAGGAACAAATATCAGCGTGTAATCGTATTTGAGCAATCGTAGGAAAAAACGTTGCACTCTTGGCGGCATATCGGCTATGCCTTTCCTAGATATGTTTATCAGCGGGCTGTGGTCGCTCTCGAGTATGAGTGGGCGACCATACACAAAATGGTTAAACTTTTCGCAACCGAAAACCAACGCCAAAGCCTCTTTTTCAATTTGCGAATATCTCTGTTCCGATTAACTCAGCGCTCTCGACGCGTAACAACACCACCTAGACAGAAGGCCTCCACACGCGTCATCATAGTCAGATCGATCGAGGCAAGAGATTGGGCACGAGTGCTGCGTCAGTGTTCGGCTGCGGCTCGTGGCCAATCAGCGCGTCGAAGGTCGGACTCGGGTCCAATAGCCGACCGAGCGCGATCCGACTGTGATGACGTTTCATAGAGGATGAGGAAACCATGCGGAGGCCTTCTGTCTAGGTGGTGTTGCGCGTAAGCGACCGGTTTCCAGCAGTCCCCCATGACGTTGTAGGAGTGCGGAGCCAATGCCACTTTGAGATGCGTCTGAAGTTATCTTCGTCTCCAAACCTAGGTCAAAAATAGCAAGCAGCGGTGCCTCGCCTAGCTCCTGACATATGGCTTGCCACTCGTTTTCATGATTAGGTGTCCATTCAAAAATGACGTCTTGTTTGATCAGGGAACGCAGAGTCGAAGTGCGCTGGGAAAGTGACGGTAGATACTTGCTAAAATAGTTAACAACCCCGAGCAACCTTTGTACTGCCAATTTGTCTTGTGGCTTTGGCATTTTGAGAAGACCGTCCACAAGGGCGGGATTGGGGCTAATACCTTTGTGGCTAATGATGTCGCCCAGGAACAAAATTTCTTGAACGCCGAATTGGCATTTGGCTGCATTAAAAGTTAGGCCCGCTGCTTCAGCTGCCTTTAGTGCATCGTGCAGCCTCTGGTCATGCTCCGCCCTAGTCGCACCCCAGATCAGCACATCGTCCACGTATACACGTATGCCAGGAAGGCCCTCGAACACTTCGTTGAGGGCTTTTTGAAACACCTCACTAGCTGACGCTATGCCGAATGGAAGGCGTAGAAAGCGATAACGGCCGAACGGCGTGGCAAACGTGCATATCTTGGATGATTGCTCGTCCAGTGGGATTTGGTGAAACCCTGCGTTTGCGTCTAGACGCGAGAAAAACTTCGCGCCTGCCAAGTCCGCTTCAATATCTTCTCTACGAGGCATTTGGTAGTGTTCTCTTTTCAGGTTTTCATTAATCCTTCTGGGATCCATGCATACCCGCAACTTGCTGTCTTTTTT